CAATCATCTCTATATCAGTATTGACATTTGTTTTAGGAGCATCTGGAAAGTATGCGTCAGGAAAGAACATGCTAACATGCTGAACTTCTGCAGCCCCTTCTCCAAGTTGTTTTACTAGGCATAATCCATACTAAATTTTATTTAAATTTTCTTTTATGTTTATACAGTGTAAGTTCTCCCTCTCAACTATTGATTCTGAGCAGATGCACAAACTCCAGGAAAGAATATGTGGCTTTTTAGCACTTTTGTGTAGGGTTTAGTGGAAAACATTTGCTGCAGCAGTTTCTGCTACAATATTTCCATTCACTTTTTTCTTTTTTAAAATTTTATAATACCAGCTACTCCTTTTATATTTGGAATCTGCTTCCATTACTCCTTGCAGAGGAGCTGCACTGTTGGGCCAGGCCCTGTTGAAGTCCATTTTGTCCGTAGTTGATCTTCTCACACAAGCAGGGGAGAAAAGATTTTAACTCAGGCACATATAAATCTTTATGACTTACACATTGCTTCAGTAGAATATTCTTAACTGCTGCAGAAGCCCTTGCACTAACCACTTGCTCATGTAGCTTATGTACGGACTACAGAGAAATGCGCACGTCAGTTTTTTGTAATTCAAGCACATCATTTATGGCAGCATGGCAAATGACCATCACACAAAGTCATCCACAAAAATTCATTTGTGCTCTGGCTTTTTTTCCTTCTCCATAACTGCAAGAGCTGAATTTTGGTATGCCTGAGCTCGGAAACACCAGGCTCAGGTAGTGTGTTACTTCCTTTTACTCTACCATGATTGCTTGTGGAAGGGAACTGCCGAGTCAGAGGCTGTACACATAAAGATGTGCTTTTTCCTACACTTGCAAGCCTCATTCTTATGGTTTTCAGTTCCTCTGTTTTATTCAAATGCAGCTGTTGTGAGAGGCCACTGGCTCGGTATCCCGGTAAGTAGAAGAGTGCCATTAAGGGGCATGGATGGGAAAGAATGAAAAACAAATCTGCAGAGCTGCACTTTATGTTTAACACATCATCAAACAGGGTATTCGCAACAGGCTACTGTAGTGCCCTCAGTGACAAAACTTGAGAAGCAGAGATTATAATATTTATTTTATGTGTGGGCTAGCTGGGCCACACAGAGGTTAAATCACTTGCACAAGTCACATGTTAAGTCAGCAGTAAAACCAAGAATAGAAACCAAAAGTCATGCCTCCCTGTCCAAAGTCTGTAATGATTAAGCTGCATCCTCTCCTTTGGCCTGGATTATAACAGAGTACAAAGTATACCTCTATGACATTTTACACACAGATATCTTAAAATATTCTTGCAAGGCGAAGACAATCATTGCACAGAAATGCAACGTTTCACATTGTATAATCATTTTTAAGTGAAGTGGGAACAGGCATCGAAAAGTACAGCTACTGAAAGTTGAGTGCTTCCAAATGACTCTAATTGCAAAGTGGAAGCTGACGGAAAACCAGTAGAGCAAGAACCTCGGGGGAACAGCCGTAAGCAGGCGGTTAACTTGCAGGTCTGCGAGTTAAGCAGGATGAAGCTGATGCATCACCTTTAAGGTAAACAGCACAATTTTGTTCATGATGAGAGAAGTAATTAGCAGCCAAGGTAATGCCCCTAGTACAGGAAGAACGCATTGTGAAAACCTCAGGCAAATGACAGTGCGGTAGCTGCAGATCAAATCTCAGTTAAAACATACACACGTGCCTGCCTGGCAGCTCATCAAGCAGCACCACACTGTCTAATCTAAAGGAACTTCAGCTTCAATATTAAACTGTGTGTATGCAGGCAGAAACCGTGCAGTGAGAAAGTCCACAGGAGGAGGAACGAAGAGGCTCAAGGTATCAAGGACAAAAGAACCCTTACACCTTCTCTACTCCATCTCTATCAGAAAAAGAAAACAAAAAGGGTGGAGAGGAGCCATGGGACAGCCCGTATCTCAGTGAGCCACATAAGCATGCAGCAAGTGGCCCGTGCTGAGTGTTGTTATTCGAGAGAGCTTATCAGAGTCTATCAGAAATACTCTATTGAAACAACGACAAACAAACAAACAAACAACACAAACATAAGGAAACCCACAGTACCCTTGACAGGTAGGGAATTACTTCCTTCTTTGCAAATAAACTATGTTAAAGAGATACAGCTGAAAATGGTTGCTGGCAAAGTGCAGAGACAGTGTCATGACTCAGCCCTAACACATTACAGTTGTGTAATCCTTCAGCGCTGGTTGAAGCATATACACTACAGAAGGTCAACTCTTGTTAACACTGCATTTGCACATTGGATGTGTCTAAAACCAAAGTTCTGCCTCTGACTCCAGAAAAGCAACATGAGCTGTAGCAGGTGGGAGAGCCTTTGCACACAAAAAGGTTCAGAGCAATACCTCAAACAGCTTGCACATCTTCTGTGCACATAACACAAGACACTCAGGAGATAAACAGCCCCTCAGTCATTTGATACCATTCATTCAGCAATTTGGAAGTGATATTTTTTTAAAAATTGACAAAGGGGTTTATTGCTTGTTTAGAAGGTAGAGCTTCTTCACTACTGCGCAAAGCTGAGACTACCACAGATGTATTTAACAAAGCATACAGTGAAGAATGAAGAAAACTTGGAAATCAAATCATTCCTCTGGCTCCTGTGAACTTTGCTTGACTAAGCAAAAAAACCACAGCAAACGAAATAGTCTCTGACCTTCCAGAACAACATTTTTAAAAAGTCTGATCTGCTTATGTGGGCAGATTTTGGCACAGGGTAAACATCGATGTTTGCTCCTCAAATTGCACAAGCCACAAAAAAATCTCTCGCGCTTTTATCCAGGATATGCTTTTCAAGCAGTGCACATTTAGTTTTCTTTGACAACTGGAGGCAGGGTACTTTCTTCCCATGGAAGTGCAAGCACAGGCATGAAGGCAGTGTGCCAGCTGTCTGTAACCTGGTATCTGTAGGGGGGAATGCTTACATCCTGCAGCGAGCACAGTGTCCTTATATAAGGAATAAAGTCACAGCTCTAGCCCACTTGGCTTCTCAAATATTCAACCAACCACACCAGCATCTCTGCCCTCAGCCAAAGCTGAAGGTGAGCCCACAGTGTGTCAAATCTCTTCTGGAGGAGGGCCCAGCTACTTAAGAGAGCAAGGTCTTCAGCCACAGCACAGTAAGGGAAAAAGTTTACAGGAGATAAACTCAGGAAAGATGGAAAGAGTGCCAGCCCCAGAGCAGTCACATGCCAGAGTACAGCCTGTACTGGCATGCCGGTGTAGTGCTCTGGATCAATAACATCTGTAACACAGCACATATTGACAGACAGATGCACAGAGGGAGCACAGGACTTATTTTCTCTCCCACACTCCGAGGCCGGAGCTAACGTGATGATTTCACTGCACCTTTACATGTTTATTTCATACTTTACAAAAAGCAGTTTCTTGTGTTCTTTGGGGTCCTCCCACTATTTAAAGGAATTTAAACACCTTTCATGAGTGCTTTAAAAAATGCTGTAAGTATTGTGCACTCACTAGTACTTGACACATGCTCAGATATTACAGATAGCTTGTTTGCAGAGGTTTGATTTCAGGGAAGGGAATCAGTGACAGCAAAAGGTCCCAAACCTCGTACAACACGATAAAACCAAGATCAACAGTCACACAAGCCCTGGCATTTCTTGTGAGAAGAACGAGCAAGTAATGACAGTGGGGACATCTGCCACATACTGTCCCCAGAGAGGGAGACCAGTAACCAAGCAAGTGGGTTACCCTTCACAAGGCAATCAGTATAGCAGCTTCTATGGTTTAAATCTATTAAAAATTCCCAAAGATATTCTCTGAATTCTCTCTCTCTTTTTTTTTTTTTCCCTGTCTTTCCATGAGAAAACAGCAGACTGCAAAGATCAGGCTACAGGAAGTACACACAGCAATGCTAATACTTTACTATCAGGAACTCTAGAAGCCTGGCTCCGGGAAGACAACACTGATATTGGTCTTTTTTAAAAAATTCTTTCCATTTACCTACACTTTGTACAAAAACACTGAGTCCAAAAGCATGAGTTAAATTTCTCTCTTCAGTAACTACCAGAAAGCTAGGATTTTCCCCTGAGCCTACATATTATACTCACAGAATTATTATATACATCAATTGCTATTCAAACTTCATGTTTTCTAATAAACCGATATATCAAATGTAACACATGGTACTCAGTTTGAAGATCATCTCAGAAAGGAATTAGTTGACAGAAGGTTTAAAAGCTATGTGTCACCAAATTGAATCATACTTAGCAAGGTGCTTACTACACTAATGCTGTTTACATTTCATAGCACAGAACAGATACACTGAACTGTGAAAGTTTAGGTAAGCAACAAGAGCATGAAGCACAAAAAAACCACCCAAAATATGCTAGGCTACTGAAAGTAGGTTGAAAGGACACTGATGTCCAAGACAAAAAATGTAGTTTGGATATAATTCCTGCTCTGGAATAGTCTAAACCTGTTTAATACCTCCCCACATGATTGCAACATTCCTTGAAGATTTGCAGCTCTTATTTTTTGGCATGATCTGAACTGCTTCAGTCTGTGTAATAAGGTCACCAATAGAGCCAGAAGTGAAGGGCTTGGGTTACCTACTGGTGAGATGCTTCCCCTTTTTCCAAGCCAAATTTCACAACACCGTGCTGTGGAGCCAAATAGCCTGCTTGTTCTTGTCCAGCTTCATGACTTCTACAGGCTTTGGTGCACATGCAGCCCAAGTTTTGGACCAAATCATTACATATCATATCTTTGTACTTAGTAATTTTGTTCCAACTAGACTACCTTTTTTTTTTAAAAAAAAAAAAAGCTTCAGGAAAAAAGATAATGTTTGACTCTTCATAAAAAGCAAACAAACCACTAACACGGTAGGTCTGAGGACCACTGTTAGATGCATCACAGACATAGGACACCAAAGATATCTTAATTTTTTCACATTTTTAACCTCTATTAATAACATCACACTGTTCAACTTACGTTTTCCTATTGAAAAATCTGTTCGACATGCAGAATTCCTGTTTTTATAGTTCTCAATATATCATAGCTTGCAAAACCAAAAAGATAGTAAAGAATTTCTAAGACGTGAAGCTCATAGGTGCATTATAGTTACAAGCCACATGCATTTCCTCAGGAAAAAACTTCTGCAAGAAACAAGTGACGTTACTTTTTTTTTTTTCCTTTGCACTAAGATTACGTCACTGTTATCTCTTGTGTACAGATGACACTAATAACTGCGTTGCCTGAACTTCAGCTAAGTTATCAGTTTCCTTGAAGTAGTTTGAGGGAATAAAAACAGCTGCACAGAGAAGTAGGAAGGCTTGGTCTTAAGTCTATTTTTAACATTTCTTCAGTTTAGGCTCTACTTCTTATTCTACAGGTCATCACAAACAAAAATGTATCATTTATGTAAACAGAATGCCTACACACGTGTGTGTACCTTACCCAAACTGCATGCAGTGTGGTACGTGAGCCTAGCTTCTGCATACATGAAAACTGTTTCTGCTGCTCAGCCCAAACTTTTCAAATGGTCTCCAGCCTTTATGAGCCCACTGAAAAGACATATTTTAATCGTAAAGTCACTGGTCCTCGGAATAGAGTTTCTGTTTTCCAATGCACAGAAGTGCACGTACCCAAATGTTTGTAGATCAAGTTCTTAAAAGGACGCTCTATGGGAACTGCTGAGTCACAACCTGAACCTCTGATTGATCACCTGAGGTGAGCCATGAGTCAGCCAGAGGAGCACAGCTGAAGGCAATTCACCTGTGCTGCCAGAAGGGGTGGAGCCTGGCTGCCCCCCCTCCTAGACCTATTTAAGAGCTGACTACCAGTGGGGAAGGATCTCTTACAGAGATTGGCTCTGCTGGTGTTTTGTGGGTGAGTCCAGGATAGGGGTAAGCCTTTTATTTATTCTCTTTTGTTATCATAGTCTACTTTGCCTTGTTTATTCTCTTATTTATTTTGTGATTATAGCAGTCTAATATTTTTTTGATTATACAGACACCTAAGCTTTAATATCTCAACTTCTATAAAACACATTGTTCTTAAAAACTTGCATTATATAGTTGCTGTGTAGTCTGCAGATAGAAAAAAATCAGGTAATGTTTTTTCAACAACACAAAAAAGAAACAGAAAACCAACAACAAAACACTCAAAGAAAGCATTTATAGAATGGTTTGGGTTAGAAGGTACCTTTAAGACCATTTAGTTCCAACCCCCTGCTGCAGACAAGGACACCTCCTACTGACCAGATTGCTCACAGCCCCATCCTGCCTGGCCTTGAATGCTTCCAGCAAGGGGCATCCACAACCTCACTGGGCAATCTGTTCCAGTGTCTCCCCACCCCACAATGAAGAACTTCTTCCTGATATCTAGTCTCAATCTAACCTCTTCCAGTTTAAAACTATTTTCCCTAAAACTATTTCCCCTCATCCTGTTACTCTCCACCCTCTAAAAAAAAAAGTCTCTCACCAGCTTTCCTGAAGTACCCCTTCAGGTACTGGAAGGCCCCTATAAGGTCCCACCAGAGCCTTCTCTTCTTGAGGCTAAAGAGCCCCAGCAATCTTAGCCCGTCTTCATAGGGGATGTGCTTCAGCCCTCTGATCATCTTTGTGGCCCTTTTCTGGATCCACTCTAACAGCTTGATTTCCTTCTTGTGCTGGGGGCTCCTGAACTGGATGCAGTACTCCAGGTAGAGACTCACAAAAGCAGAGTAGAGGGGCAGGATCACTTCCCTTGACCTGCTTGTCACGCTTCTGTTGATGCAGCTCAGGGTACTGTTGGCCTTCTGGGCTGCAAGCATGCGTTTCCAGATCACGCTGAATCTTTTGTCAACCAACACCCCTAAATCCTTCTTCTCAGGGCTGCTCTCCAGTCATTCTCCACTCAACCTGTATCTGTGCTTGGAATTGCCCTGACCCAGGTGCAGGACCTTGTACTTGGCCTTGTTGAACTTCATGAGGTCAGCATGGACCACCTCTGAGGCCTGTCCGGGTCCTTCTGGATGGCATCAGTTCCCTCTCTTATGTCAGCTGCACCATTCAGCTTGGTGTCATCTACAAACTTGCTGAGAGTGCACTTGATCCCACTGTCCATGTCACCTACAAAGATGTCAAAAAACACTGGTTCCAGCACCAATCCTTTTAAGTTCTGTTAAATCTCAGGTTGTAGAATGCCGTATGCCTCTGAATTAACTGCTGATATTTCATCTGAATTTCCCCTGTCTGGGCAGCAACTCTGAAGTTAAAGGAAAAACCACCCATACCACAGGACTCTGATCCAGTGAGACTTAGCGAAACATTCTGGTCCTATTCTTAGTCAGAATTTCATAGCCAAACACAGGGAATGCCAAGAGCATTCTAAGATTCCTGCAGCAAAATTGAATGGCTTCCTTTTTACAAGTAAAATGTGATAAGCTCCACAAGTAACTGCTGGGGCATTTAGAGGTTGTCAATCCTGCAGAGAAAGCACCACCAGATTGTTTATCACTTGATTTACAGAGATGCAGAACAAGGTATGTCTTACTACTGAATCTACAAACACAGTTTTGTCACTTTGTTGTTTTTGATTACATATATTACACAAATTAAACCAAAAGATACAGTGAGTACTCCAGGAACAACGAGCAGCTATATCACCAACAGTTTTGCTTCTTTTCCATTCACGCTTGTCTGCTCAAACTTCTTTTTCTGTTAGTGATAAAGAGAATTATAACAGGATGAAAGCTGTGATCTCAGAGGAAATCCAGACAGACTTCTATTACACTGAGATTAGGGAGATAACTTGAAAAACTTCATGAACGTGTACCTGAGAGAAAAGCAGCCCAAACAGAACAGCCCAATTCTGCTTTTCATTGACATAGAACCACAGACTTTTTGACATCAGCTCTATATCAGCTTTTTTGATATCAGCTTGATAGATAGGGAAAAAGCACAGGTAGAGTTGCAAATTTACACTCAACCTTCATATATGGAATCTTCTAGAAAATAATGATTTATAAAATCTAACCTTTAAACAGTTATGTTTTAACATATTAGATCAATACCAACAACTAATATTTACTAATTTGCTCTTTTAAAGTAAAATTTTATGGAATTTAAAAAATTTTAAGTTTGATGCAATTGCCAACTTGTAGCAAGTAAATTTTTGGATAAAGCTGTTCTACTAATGTATTTTCCTTCTCTCTTGTGCCAAATAATACAAGATATCCGAGTGCTGATTTTTTTCAAGTGGTTAAAAAACAAGATGTTATTTTTGCTTAAAACAGTATGGTGTCCAGTGTTTTCAGTACTGTATCCACAGGCACTGTTGGATACACATTTAGCTCCAAAGACATCCACTGGGTTATTCTCACAGATAAAATTAGACACAGGTCTTTGTCAGACTGGGTGTTTATATGCTTGAGGCAGTTAACAATTCCCTGGTTTTTTTGTTTGTTTTCTTTTTGAAGGAAGGCAGCGTACCAATGATTTCTATTTTAAAGTTAAGGAAATTGTTCTCTTTTTGTTACTGTTCCTTAAGACATGTTCAGTTCTTATTCAATGCTACCCCTATTGTGTGCGCATATATCTTCTCACAAGCAAAAGAAAATACATATGAAGTCATCTCCACAATCATTATACGTAAAACATACCCAATTTTGTTCTTTAAAAACAAAATACAGGCATACATTGAGAATGCAGAATCACATTGTAGTAGATTTCTGACATTTGTTCTATTTGAATTTTGAAATAAAATATTCACATTAATTTTTTTCTGTATCATAACAGTAGAAAACATTTGAGCATCATGTCTTCCTCTCTTACCCAAAACAAACAAACAGAATACCTTCTGTACATACATAAAGGGCTATTCCAAAGCTATTTTGTTGTCTACGATAAACCACAAAGTGTCCCTTTGAGTATGTGCAGAATGTATGTTCCAGTTTGGCATGTCCTTATTTCCTGACATCTTTCCTTATTTCATCTGTGTAAGAAATGCTGACTGCTGCATTTCACATGGAGACACAGCCTTATTCTTTACTGCTTTAGGTGCCAGACTTGGAAATGAATAATTATTCTGTTCCAGTATTACAGTAGCAGTTCAGAAAGGAAAAGACAAGAAATACAAAAGTAGAACGTTAATGCCTCTGTCTTTTTTATCCCAATTATGCAACATAATTATTAAAATCTGCTTTGTATATGCCATGAAAAGTTATATTTGCCCCATGATACAAGGTCAGAAGTGCTTCTTTCCATACTCATTGGTGCCAGCCTTCATCATTTGAATCAAAGACCAAATGAATTGAACAGCTTGGATCCCATGTGAAGGGATCCCATGTGAAAGGAAAAGGGAATGGATGTTAGTGGCCAGAACATTTCAACTTGTTCAGTCCATGTCCCCCAGAATCTTTTAGTATTTTTACTTTCATGTCTAAATCTGTGTCATGATTACACTAAACAGACCGTTCTTCAATTAATAGAAAGTTATTAGTTAAGCAGCATAAAACAGAAGATAAACTAAAAAAAATTCAACTGATATTACACACAGAAATAGAAAGTTCCAACTACCTAAAGAAAATACTTGGAAGTATACCAGCTATACAAATTTGCCAGGAAAAGGCACTAGCTTGAACCCAAAATCTGATGAGCCATCCCTTCCTACAATACCTAGCTAAAGCACAGCAGCATTTCACTACCATGTTTGTAATCTACACAGTTAAAGTATACAGCACTTGTCAAAGCGTCTTTGTACTAGAAATGATAGGCTAGACCTGGCTGCCAAGACACTAATGAAGCTTTCTACTTAAGGTTAAATTACTCTGCTTCAGATGATGTACAGTTACTTCATCAAAATTCTCTTCCGTTAATTGAGGAGAATCTGTCTTATGCATTTAAACGAATGAAAAGACACGTCCTCTTTCTTCTTTTCCTGTTCCTCTTGGATATGCCTTTATGTTGTTTCCATTACTATCTGTATCCATTACTATCTATTCTATATCGATAGCAGCTGGGAATAAGCTGGAATAAGACAGGAATCACTTGGACTCTACTGGTCCAGCAGAAGCATCACATTGGTGATCCCATGGTTATTAGATGCAGCATTGTTAGTTGATCAGGAGCACTCTCTCACTGAAGGATTTTTTTTTTTTTTTTTTTTTTTTTTTTTTGCCAAGGAG